GTATAAATTGTGAACTAGCAACATGGAAACAGACAACAGACAAAAGGCAACAGACAAGAGAGAAGAGTCAACAGTTAACAGACAACAGACACCCACGCAGTAACCAAACAACAGATAACAACAGAATACATGAACTTTACATCAACAATCATTACTTAAAGGTAAAAAATATAAATAACTTTTTAAGGCCATCATTTGCATTTTAATTATGTATCAACGATGGATCAATGTGGATGACCAAAACCATCTATGTGACACCAGTGAATCTAGGCATTATTTTTATATTATTAATGGCCACTTTTTTATATAATTCATTTACGATTTTCTGATTTATTATTCATAGGAAGGAAAAGAAAATGTGTGTGTGTGTGTGTGTGTGTGTGTGTGTGTGTGTGTGTGTGTGTGTGTGTGTGTGTGTGTGTGTGTGTGTGTGTGTTTGTGTGTGTGTGTGTGTGTGTTTGTGTGTGTGTGTGTGTGTGTGTGTGTGTGTGTGTGTGTGTGTGTGTGTGTGTGTTTGTGTGTGTGTGTGTGTGTGTGTGTGTGTGTGTGTACGCCATTTTTTCCTTAACTTAAAAGAAAAAAAGTTTGTTTGCTGTGTTAAAAATATATACGAAGGAAGAAGAAGAAGAAGAAGAAGAAGAGGAGGAGGAGGAGGAGGAGGAGGAGGAGGAGGAAGAGAAGGAGGAGGAGGAGGAAGGAAGAGGAAGGAGGAGGAAGAGTCGGTTGTATCAGCCTCCTTGTTTACCATCTACTCGTATCTTGTTTGATGAGAGACTGAAAGACGTGGGTGTTCTCTCTCTCTCTCTCTCTCTCTCTCTCTCTCTCTCTCTCTCTCTCTCTCTCTCTATAGTAAAGAAACTACTACATAAATAAATACAAAAGAGACATAACAATATGTCACCAAGACTATAGTTTAGAGCCGTAGTGGATGTGAACCAACCATAACTTTAAGTGAATTGCTGAAACTGTGCAATTCACCACTGTAATAGATGTGAACTAGTCGTACTATACAGTGAATAGTTATAACTTGTAACTCTATGATTCAGCATTGTAGTGGATGTGAACTAACCGTATTTTCGAGGCACTTGTTATAACTATATAAATAAGTACTGCAGGAGATGTGAACTAGCGGTACTTAGCTCAAATTATAACCAATGTAACATTTCTATAATTCAACTCATTAAAGGACATTCATGAATAATCTTAGATTCTATTTGGGGTATAATTATTGAAAATTCCACAATGTCATTATAGGTGAGTCTTGCATGATAGGTCTGGGTAAGCATTCAGTATATATGTTTTATTTTAGGTTAACTGGAAGCAATGGCCAAAACTCAACCTGAAATAACTCCACAACACCAAATAATAATAATTTTTCCGGGTCTGGTAATTGTCCTGGAGTTAATTTCATAAAACTCTATGATAATTTTAATGTTTTATGTTACAGATCTATAATTAATTAGCTATTAAAGGTTAAGTTAGGTTAGGTTAGGTTAGATTTGATTAGTTCGTTAGTTATTAAGGACGTTAAATTAAATCCTAAAGACAAATCAACATATACAATATCAACCGCATTAAGCTAGTTATTTAGCCTGTTTTTATAAATCGTAATTACGGGTCGTATCGATTTACGTAATGGCGCGAAAAATTCAAGTAAATATGATTCGCCTGATTTATACTTTTAATATAGGAAAAAAACAAAAAAAACAACAATAACTGCAAAAACAACAACAACAACAACAACAAAAACAATAATAGTAATAACAAAAATAAATAACAACAACAACAAGAACGCGACAAAATAGCTTCAGAAGACGTCATTTTTACACAAAAATCTTTAAAAGGTTTGAGCCAGGAGTCAATATTACCACCAAGAAAATGCTGCGTCTAGCCTCTTGAGAACAGTAAATATCAATAAGCTTCTCCCGTGACACCGACAAGGTCAGAATATCCACAAAATGACCTTTTTTTCCTTCCCCACACGATGTATATAACTTGCATTAAGAAGATCGAATCATATGAAGATTAACTATCCTACCCTACATTTACCTGAGTGAGGTTAGGTTAGGGTACCTTTGGTTAAGTTAGAGGAAGGCAGAGCAGGTTAGGTTAGGGTAGGTTAGCACTGGCAGTATAAGTCTTAGTGATGTTCCACAAAGGGCAATTGAGGAAGGGGGGGGGGAGGAGGTGGGATGGAGGGGTGGGAGGAGGTGGGGAGGGGAGGTGGGGAGATTGGTTACCTGGCCATCGTTCGATATATCTGTCCTGGTTCAGAACAAAAGACTGAACCGCCAATGCAAGTCATATCATTGTGAAGAGTCGACATATTCTGGTCTTTGTGTGTGGGGTACAGATAACAAGGTCAGTGGGGTGGGGTGGGGTAGGGGTGGGTGGGAGTGGGACGGGATGGGTGGGGGCAGAGCGGATCGGTTCTACTATAAAAAAAAAGCCAGTACCTCAACCTCCTCTGTATAATTTTACTCGCATCACAAGAGCGCCAGTGCGAGCATTAAGTGGGCGAACGTTCTCTTGACCTGGCGTTTCTTTCCTTTAAGCGTATCAGTGCCAGGTGAGGAA